TATACTATATATATATAATATATATAGCGAGGGGGTTTTTTTCTAGACATTGTCATAATTCTTGAACGTTTTATACTTTTCTAAATTTTCGGAAATCTGATCAATCTGATCATTATCCACCGAAAATTCAGAATTATTACTAAAACGTTTACTGTTATCGTTATCATTATTTTTATTATCATTATTTTTGTAGCCGAATTTATTATTATCAGAAGAAATCATTTGTTGTGACGGAGATAATGTTGAGGATAAAGAAGTTGAAGTTGCTGATGATTTCAATTTTAAAGGTTTGTTACTTTTATAATCTTGATATGCACCTTTTACTACTATATATTGAAACACTGCCATTAGTGGCTGTATACCAGTTACATGCCACATTGAAGATAAAAATAAATTGGATAAACCTGCTGAACTGATAAATTTAACACGGTAAACGCCAAAAAAAAACCACCAAGGTGCAGCAATTAAAGGCAATATGGCAATATAAGTCATTGTATATTTAAGCCTGTCCAATGCTACGCGTGAAACATTATTGTTTGTATAGTTATAGCTGGTTGTTGATTTTTCAAGCCTTGTGGTGGATGATTGTGAAGCAGATGAAGGTGTAGAAGATTTAAATTGTTCTGATGATTTATTTAATATTAAAATAAAATTAATGCCATAGTAGATCCCAACCGTTGATAATAATAAATCATGAAATGTGTAAGCTATGTATTGTGCCATTGTCCAAATGTCTGCCAATCGATCATTTCCGTTATCTCTTGAAATTCCAGATAACATTGCAAATGGAAAACATGTTAAAGTAGGATACAGTAACCAACAACATAATAAAATATTTAAGACTTTAGATGATGGGATGTATATGGTGCGCACTTTATAAAGATTGTTACTATCGTCATTCTCACTATTATTTGAATGAGAGTAATTGACTGGAATTGTATAGATTATACCAATTATATAAGTTACAGCTCCATAACATAGCACAGTCCAACCAATCTCTTGGACCGCTTCTTTTTGTAGATAGCTTGTGTAAACGTCCAATAACATCAATAGTGAATGCAATCCGCGTAAATAACAGGCGATTGTCCAAAAAAACAATAAATTGTCAACAGGCAATGGCCTTAATCCGCCGTAATGATTAATGAACAATCCTTTCCACGTATATTTATAGCGATAAATAAACGTGGCTGTTCCAATAATTGCTAAAATTGCATAAGTTATCAATGAGGTAATTGCTTCCATTGAAAACATATCACTCATAAAGCAACCATAAATTTCTATACGCCAATCACAAAATCTTAATGTTTCATTTTGATTATTATTCATGGTGGTGAATCTGTACGCGAAAGTGTAGTGTGTGTGTGTGTGTGAGGGTGTGTGTGTTTTAAAATAATGATAATAAAGGGGGTTTTTTTTAAAAAATAAAGAGAATGTAAAGATCGATATTTGTTATTGTTGTTGATACAAATAGTTTTCAGGAAAAATGTTTTCGCATAGCATTTATATAATGGTCTTTGTAAAAGACGGCCGTGACACGAGGATCATTTTTGATTAATTGTAGCATGATAAAAAAAAACATTAAATATATATTAATAAATATTTACATAATGCACATACACACACACATATTAAATGTTATCCAATAAACATAAACATGCATGCAAGGAATAGCTTAAATTCTATATACACTATTGGGCATAGTTTTAATTTGATAATCAATTACTAATCGAATTTATCGTACCATTATTAAATTCCATTTTCATTATCCTTTAGTGTTTTACTGATTTGGAAAACAAAAAAAAACTAGTAGCGTCATGCATATTACATAAAATCCTTTTGTCAAAATTGGGAGAACAGATGATCTAAATTAGACTATCACCTACTAATATGGAAATTGATTCTGGAAAAAATTTGAACTCCTTGTCGATCAATTAATATATATGTTACAAATGAATCCAAAACCGAGAAATATTATTATATTAATTGTCTTTATTGGTATTAGCTGAAAACATCATACAATGATTTCTATTTGTATATTTTATTTATAAGGCATTACAAACAAAGTTGGTAGCAACAATGTGCAAAGTATGTTTTACCTAAATATATATTATTAATATGGAAATGTAAAAAAACCTAATAATTCAATGTGTTCGTTCGTTTATATAATCAAGGTTTCCAATCCAACTATTTTCCAAAAAAAAAAACTTTTGCAATAGTTTTGATTTCTCAATATTATTATTATTATAATAATGAACGTATAATCTCGGCGATTAATAAAAAATTAAATTTTGCTCAAAGTGTTTCGGCAACTTCGGCTACCAAGAGAGGTAGCTTCGACCGAAAAGTCTAACTTATATTAATTTATATTCATTCTTTTATTGGCTCTATTATGGTTTCAATATTATTATTATCATAGCCTGTTATCTATTTTTTTATTGCATGAAATTAGCGTTTATTCTTGTGTATATATATATGGAAAAAAGATCATGATTTTGTTAATTTGTTAATTTTATAATTTGGAAATTTTATGACCGTTCAAGAGTTCTCTCCATGTTTTTTCTTTATAGATTTGTATAAAATTTAGAAATTCAAAATCTAGTCTAACACTGTTGATTGCCTTTCGCCATATTAAATATTAATTAAATTTAGCACAATCGAATTATAGTTTGATGATTGGTTCTTTTCTGATGGTAATATGTTCCATATATGGTAAAAGATAAGTGTGCTAATATTAATTAATGTATTTGGTTCCTGTTTCCTGTTCCTTGTTACACTTTAGTACTAATTTTTATTGGCCGATCAGAAGGAACAGGAAAATGGAAGAGAAACAACGAATTTGTTGTTTCCTTGTTTTTATTTCTCATTTCCAAATTTGGAAACGACTTTTTAAAAAAAAATTCTAAAAAAATTGTACAACAGCAACAACAATAAAGTGTTCATCCAGTTCAAAAGGTAGCTTCTACTAATGATGACAATGCCAAAGTATTTACCCAGTTCAAAGGATAGTTTCTCCTACTAATAAATGTAGAACAATAACAACAAGTTATTTATCTGGTTCAAGGACAACAACTTCTTCTATTAATAATGACAAACAACAACAACAAATATTTATCCGATTCAAAGGACAATTCGTCTTCATCAAAACTTTCATCAAATTCGTCTGAACCAGTCACTTCTTGAAATAGATTTAGAAACAATGCCTCTTTCGCAAGTTGGCATTTTAATAATAATTCTGCACAAATTTAAAATCTATCTTAAAAAAACGCGTAAATTTTATCATATAAAACAACGAATTTTCTGTTCAGCTGATCCTGATTCCGTTAATTAGTAAGCAGTACAACAAGGAATAGGAAACATGAAGCCCTTATCTATTACTATGTTTGTATCACTCTCGTTAATATTAACGGCTCTGGTACAATTTTTATTTATATATATTTATTGTTGATATTTTCAAAATATTTTCCAGGTCCTTGATTTGGAATTTGTTTTTTAATCGCTTCATTATTGTTATTTTTATTATATTGAGTTTCTTTAATTATTTCGTGTTTTTTTATTATTATATGTTTCTTTTTTTTTCATCACAAACACAAAATTTCAGTCGTTGTAATAAATCAAGACATCTAATTTTTAATTTTTTCAATGGTTGGCAGCTTTCCTGTTAAATTTCTGATTTAAAAGCTCTTGATTTTTTACTTTGAATGAAGTTAACGGTGTAGGATTTACTTGTATGTGTTGCAAGGTTGGGTGACGAGAATATTTTGGAGTGTAAAAAGTATTTCGTCAAACGGGGTACATTTCAGATATAGGTTTATTAAGAATAAGTGAACACCAATTAATTATATGATTTTTTTTAATTCATTAATACATTGGATAATATATTAAATTACATGCTATATGGATAAAGCTTTTAATTCCCGACATGTTATATGCTAAAATGGGTAAAGTGGGAAAACGTTACATGCTTATAAGTAAAAAATTTCGAAAATTTTGGGTAAATTCATTAATAACCTGGATGTTTGCCTCATGAATTTAGAATTATTCGAAATTAAAACTATTCTAAACTGATTTAGAAAATGAGCCCAGATTCCTAAACTGTTTCGAAACTCCTAAAAATCCAAAAATCAAACAAATATTCTTAATCTTAATCTTTATTTTTACTTATTTAAAAAAAAACAATAACAAAATACTATTATTAATAAAAATTTTAAAAACAATAAATTTTACAGTGAAATTTCAGGAATTGCAAATACATCTGGATACCACAAATCATGAAAGCCTTTAAAATTGAATGATCAGTAATTCCTGCACGTTCTTTTAATAAAAAAAGTTTACTGAATGGTTGGGTGTGGAATACTATTGTGCCTTCTAGTTATTTTAGTTATTAAGATAGTGAAGATTAAGAAACATAAGAGTTAATTATGTCATTTTTATTTAATATAAAAATTATTACTAAAGATATTATTAACACTCTGGCAAGAAGAAGTGATATTAATATTAGTATCATTTATTTATTATTATTGTTACTATTATTTAAATTTCAAAATGAAAATCAAATTTTATGTTCTACAAATTTTCAAAATGTCTAAAAGTTTTTCAACATTAGAAAACGTAAACAAATTATTCAAAAAACCAATCGATTCCAACAAGATGCTTTACCATTAAAATAAATATATTTGAGAAATTTGTAAATGACTTTGCAAAATTGATGAGTGAACCAGTTTTTCATGATGTAGAAATCAAAGCATTATAATAAACCTTTTAAAGCCAATTCCGCCATTTTGAAGGCAAGGTCTACATATTTTAATACTGCTTTATCAGGCAATTGGAAAAAAAAATCAGAAGATGGTATGATTTTATTTGAAAAAAAAAAAATATTTCTACAAAAATATTAAATATTTGAAGTTCTTTTAAGGTAAGATGAATTCAATTAACCATATTCAGTTATTATTTATTAATTTAATGTTATTTATATAATATTAAATATTTTTTTATTTATTTTAAAGATACATATATGATGGAATTATAATATAAATAATTTGAATGAAAATGAAATTCTTGAACTCCTTAAGCATGTGATGAACTTGGCTTTAATGAAATGATTGAAATTTATAAAAATTATTTAATTATTGAAAAAAAAAGAATGGGTACATTTGAATATAATCTATGTTCATAAAATATCATCAAAACATCGATCATTTAATTTACTTCAAGATTATTCTAGTGAATTATTTGATAAAAATCCGGAACCATTTTTAAAATCCAATAATACTTCAACAATTGAGAAAACTATGTTTATATCTATATTAAAAATGGATGGTTTGGAATTGAATGAAATCGATATCTGGAATTATGTTGTTCAATGGGGAATAGGACATAATGAAGAATCAAAGAAAGATATCTTTGATTGGAACAAGAAGAATTTGTTGAATTGAAAAATATATTAGAAGATATCATTCTGTTGATAAAGTTCAAACAAATTAATTCTATAGATTTCATGATAAAATTGCATCTTTTGAAAGAGTATTTAATAAAGAATTATACAAAGAACTTATTCAATATTATCTTACCAATAGATGGCAACCAGATTCACTACTTTTAAAATGTTCAAGAGGAAAATTGTTTAATGTCTAGTTGGATGGATAAAAAATATGAGCCATTTATAAAAAATATAAACCAAAAGATTTACCTTATGAATTTAACTTAATATTCTGTAGGACTCAAGGCGGATTTTCAAGAGCATATTTTGAAGACAAATGTTATAATATAGAAGATGCTTTAGCCATATTAAAACTTAAAGAAACAGGTGAATTGGTTGTTATAATCAGTTGGTTGGAGTACAAAAGATGGTCCTCCAAATGAACGTTATTGGGTTGAAGCTGACAAAAGTTTTATTTCAAAGACTGACACAAGTCAAATAAAAAATTCAATACTAAGCAGAATTAGAACTACACAAAAAGCAATATTCAATGATATGAGAAGTTTTGATTGGACTGATGACGATATACAATTTATTGAAAGTACTGTACATTTTAATGATTTAGCAATTTACAAAGGGTTTAATAATGTGATTATAAACCTCATAACAATGTTTATGAAAATGATTTGAAGCTTAGAAATAATAATGATTCATATCATTTGTTAGAAGAATTCGAAATTTATAAAGTAGCAAAAAAAAAAATTTAATGATATTTTAAATTAATCAATAATATAATTTTTAGTATAAAATCATATGTAGCAAGTTTTTACCTCTAGATATTAATTTTCTTATTTCATTACTTCTTATGCCTAAAAAAAGAGAACAAAGAACCAAGGATATTACACTAATTGAAGAAGGATATAGTTTTTGTGAGATTGTTGAAAAGTAGAACCAAATTTTCGCTTCTAACTATGCAAAGACTCAAAAAAGAAGTATGAATAGACAAATGAAATTAAAACCCGATTTTGGCTGTCTTCACAAAGAGATGAAAGGTCAATTGTACATATAATTATAACTAATGAATGTTCTATTGCCATTGATATTCAAAAGTCTTTAAATCTGAATGAGCTGTGGATGACCTTTTTCATAATGTCCAAATTTTGCATGAATAAGTATTAATTAAAGTAATTAAAATAATTGATAAACTAACATAATCATATAATAAATAAATTAAATTAAATTATTTGCGTCATTTTACAAGCCATCGATACCAGTTAAATAATTGATTAAAGTATTTTATGCTATAATTTTTTTAAAGGTTTTTATTAAAATTCAAATTAAATATGAATGGATTTTTAAAGAGTCATTAATTCATTAATTAGCATCCCATTTATTAATGAATTATTTTCTCTTTTTTCCTTTACCGGTGGATTTACTTATTTTATTATTTGTAGACGTGCGACTTTTTTTTGCAGGTTTTGTTGTTGTTTCATCAGAAGATAAGGAATCGGGCATTTCTTCCTCCTTCTTGTTTATACCCAAAAAATAAATTTCAATTTATAAATCAAGAGAGATATTGTAAATATTAAATATTATTAGTATTGTAATAATAGTAACAATGATTTTAGACAAACTTTTGATACTTGATTTTTTTGATTTATGGTGGCGATTTGTGATTGTACATTTGCTAATTCTTCTAGTAATCGACGAAGTTCTTCACGTTTTGTTTGTAATTCTATTACATTGATTTTAAAATATAAATTTTATTATATACAAATCTTCATATAATATGTGTGTGTGTGTGTATATAGTACCTAATTCTGGCTTAAATATAGAAAGGAAAAATTTTTTTAGTGATAATTTGATTAATTAAGGAATTTTCAGGAAGGTTTTAAAGAAGGAAACAAACATCTTCAGGTTTAGGTAGTTCGATCTTTAACCATTCTTCTTCTGAAATCTCATATCTAATATTTTGTACCGTGGAGGAAATGTCAAAGGGTTAATAAAAGTGTTGATGAAAATAAAAATAATAATTACACACAATTCTTTGTTTTTTTCAATTTTCTTCTTGATCTCTACTCGTGTAGGTTTACCTATAATAATAATAATAATAATAATAAACATTATTAATAAGATAATAACATGATTATCAATAAGAGAATTAATCCTTTACCTCCAGTATTTACAATACAATTATTTTTGCGTTTTATGTCAGGACCTTGAATCTTTGAATTTTTTTCTCCGATTACCAATGGATCTATATGTAAACTTGCAAATTCTATGTGTGTGTGTATATAGTTATATATAATTATAATTAAATGAGGTAATTTTAAAAAAAAAAAAAAAACTATTTTATACCTGCTGTACTTTGTTGTCCCAACATTCTTTGTAGTTGTAAGTTCATTTGAGCATTTGTTTTACCTGGTAAACATTGTGATTCAATGATTTTTGCCCAATTCCCAATACCAAATTTCATTAAAGCTTTTCTAAAAACATCACATTCTTCTCTTGACCATCCTATCAAATTAAAATTATATAAATATGGTGATAATTATTATTTGAATTTTAATATCAAATTTACCTGGTGAAAGGGTACAATTCCAAAGGCTTGCAGAATCATTTGATCGTAAAATGTTTCTAGGGCCACTAGGCATGCTTTGAGGTTTCAGTGCCTCTTCTAAATTTGTTGTCATTGTGTGTATAATAATGTATGTTTATTTTCTAAATTTTTGATTGATTTGATCAACCAATCATTTATCGCCTGATAAACCAAAATTGTTAAATTGTTTGAAAATTTAATTTTTGTAATAGTAATAATAATAATAATGGTGAGTATTAATAATGAATGTAATAAAAATACTCTTGTATAAATATAAATCTATTTAATAATAATTTAATATTGCTTTTATAGTCAGCATTATTTAATTTCCAAAGCCTTTTACTCGTAATCTTATTAACAATTTGTACCTGTACTTACATAAAAGCTCAGGCTCCAACTATGCTTGATAAAAACAAGACAGGGTTTGTATGATATAATGTTCTTATTATTGCTCTTTTTCTTTTTCATTCCTGAGACAATCCATTAGATTATTGAAACGTTATATTTATATAAAATGATAATAAATAGCCTTTTAGGTTTATTTTGGAAGTTTGCAAGAATAGGTAAATGAATTTTAATATTTAATATAAAAAAATTTTATTATTATTTATTTAATTTATTTAATATGAATTGATATGAATAGGTGAAAGATTGAGTCCTTACGTCTCGCTGGCATGTATTGCAACTGCCATAAAGATTCTTTTAGAATAAAAATATATTTTTGTAACAATATAAACAAAAAACAAAAAATACAACAATCATAATAATAAATAAATAAATAAAAACAAATGTTTTTGTAAAATCCGTGTGTTTTTACAAGACGCGATTTTTTAATTAATCAGATTGGCTTTGGTTCGTTATTGGGGCTTTGATTGACTAGAAAATTAAAAAATACAAATTACCCAAGTTTAATTAGATGGGCTCAACTCCAACAAATAATTATTAAAGCAAAGAATAAAATTACCTCATCTAGTTCTTGTTTCGTTTTATCTTCTAATTTTCTTATATCATCCAATGATAGACCAAACCATTTATCAGTCCAACAAAATAATTGTCTATGAAATCTTGTAAACAACGATTGCATCGTCTTTAAGAAAAATGTTAATGACTATTAGTAATGTTACAGTATATATGTACATATGAAATATATAGCTTACACTATGAATAAATGCTTCAATCTTGCTTTGAATCCCACGCCATTTGAATTCAACAGTTACAAGCTTATAACAAGTCATAACAGGTGTAACTTTATTCTATAATAATAATAATAATAATAATAATAACATAAATATTATATCAAGGATTCAAACTTAAAAATTTAACTTTTTTTTATCGCACTTACGATCCAATCACCTTTCAATGGTCCTCTGCCAGTTTTTCTAGAATGATACAAAGTAGGATCTTCATCTTCCTTATAATCCTTTTGATCAATTGTATCATTTGCCACGTCAATTATTATAACTTTACGTTGTTCAAGTAAATCTTGTGGAAGATTTAATACCTTTAAAATAAATAATTATTATAATTACTATAATAACAGAAAAAATTAAAAATATATAAATATATATAACACACATTATCTATTTCACCGCGACTATCATTCACGTGCATAGTTTCTGTAATTAATTTAAAATTTTCTTTCATATAACCATTCTGTTTGGGAAGAAAAATAAAATCATCTTTTAATACATACATATACTTATAAACTTATAACTACAGTATATAATAATACTTACGGTTAAAACTTTTGAAAATATTAAGAAAAATTTTATTTAATAAATTCACCATTAATACCGGGTAAATATGATTATATAATTTATTTTCTCTCAAGAAATGTTTATTTTTTACCTGTTTTACAATGAGGATATGCGTTCCATGCCTCTTCATATAATTCAAGAGCTCCACTAGGTGCCAAAACTCGAATAATGGATGGAACTTTGCTGATAGGTTAAAAAAATTTATACATTACATATATTACTAGAATCAATTAAAGTGTCTGTTCTAAATAAATTTTCTATCACAAATTCAATTTTTCTTAAAACAAACCTAGAAAGTTGATAAATTTTATATGTGTATTGTCCTTTTCCGTTTTCATTTTCATAGGGTTCATTCTTAACCACTTTCACTCCTTCACCTCCACCAGTTTCAGCTTTTGAAGCTTCAGCAACTGCGTACAATTGTGCAATCTATACACACACAATCAATTCAATATCAAATATAATGTTATAACTATCTTATTTTTATTACCTGATATTCTTCTGATGTGCAATTATTTATTACCCTATATTCTTTAATAATCATTTTGATAAAATAAATTATTTTATTAAAAGATTTGGTTAATTAATAATGGAAAATCGTCCGAAATTTAAAAATGTTGAATCGTACGTGACACGGCCAATCAAATTTCGACTTTTTCTATATATTAACTAGTACTAGAACAAAATTTTAAAGAAAATTTCAGAGGTTTTGGTGACGCATATTATATCAAATCACGTGTCAATAAATTAATTATCCAATAGTATATTAATACATATTAATATCGTAATATATAGATGAGACAAGATAAAAAATTTTTTCCCCAAATTTTTTTGTTTACATAAAGATGTATATATCTATTCCCAAGTGTAGCTCTCCTCCATCTCAAGTGAAGTTTATCTTTAAGTGAAGTTTTCATAATTCCTTCATTTAAAAATAATATCCCTCACTTGGGAAGGATGTTTCTCCCCTTCCCCATGTCTTGTATATATAAACTATTTATCAGAAACAATTCTAAGAGAGTACGTTATAAACTCGGATTTCCTTGATGAATTGGTGACTGAAGAAAAATGAACTTCTTATGGATGTGTAAATCTCCGAAAATTTTATTTACTATCAATTTAGAAATCATGTTCAGTGTCAGCAATGATGGTTATTTAACTTTTGGACTATTTGAAAAAATTTTAAATATATTTATTGTTGGAGACTCAGATGATACAAATAAAATGCAAATTACTTTGAAACATGGATGGTCATGTAAAAAAATTATCTCATAAAAGGTAAAAAATTTTTCTTGATATTCCTTCAACTATATTATGGAAAGTTGATTCGTATTAAAAAATATTTTACACAATTTTAATTAATTTTTAATTAATTTAGATTTGCTTCACAATCAGATTGAAGCTGAGATTTTTTTTTAACAATAATCATGATTATTGTGATGATGAAGACAATCCAATTGTTTTTTTCAGCTGCTACCTATTATAGAAATAATAAACCAGTAACATATATATCTGTGGTGATGTTGATAATACTAATGACAATAAAAGTGGTATTTCTGATGTTGATGGGTATTATCATGTAAATGAAGTATTTTGGAATAGGAAACGAGTATATTGTAATGGTGAACATCCCAATCCATAACCTATCAAAAAGATGTAATTGTGGAAGTTGGACCATCAAATAAAATAATTTGTATCATAGGTTTTTTAAATGACATTCCTCCCACAATATAAAAATAATTTATTTAAAAATGAAATATTGTTTGAACATGTAGTTTTTTTTAATATTGGATGCATTTATAATCATGCTATTATTAGATTAATGATGAATTTTATTTATTAAAAATAAACAGAGTGGACTGAAACCAAAATCAAAAAATTTATTATACACAAAGGACTTAAGTTTTTGGTTGAAACACTTTTGGCAAAAAATAATTTTTATGGGCCCAAACTACTTATAAAAAATATTGAGAAGCCCAAACTATTTCCAAAGCTGTTTTTTTTTTCAAAAATAGTTTGGACTGGAAACCTTACAAAGGACTAGCAAAAATAATCATAAAAAGTGAAAGATTTGTTCTTGAATCAGAATAATTTTTTTTTGTAGTTTTAATCACTTTCCTTTGGTTTAATAAAACTTCAATAAGATTAATATCTCTCTTAATATTTTTTGTCTTTTTTAAGATATTAGTTTTTTTAAAAAAAATTTATTGTTTTTAATTAATTTTCAAACATATATATATAGTGATTAATTTTAATATATATAAATAATAATTATGAAATTGAGAAGTTATTTAGTGTCCACATTTGTTGTCTTTTGATAAAAATTTAATCTATTTTAATATTATTTAATTCCTGAAAATCATGTTCGGAATTCTTCTGAGATTTATACTTTTAACAGCATACAGTCAAACTGAACCACTATTAAACAATTTTGCTTTATAATGATGCAAAATTGGTTAACTAAAACATAATTAATAAAATCACCTTGTTAAGCCAAATTCAATATAATTCGATAAACTAAACTTAAGGTTTGATGTTGATGATTATAAACCAATTTTAAAATTCGACTTATAAAGATAAAACCATGACAAACATTTTAGAAACACAACAACAAGAAAATAAAGAAAAAACTATTAAATAAAATTGCCGATTTAGAAAATAATTAGCAGATAAAGATAAGTAAAGAGAAGAACAAATAGAAGATCTGAAACATAAAATCTGACATGTAACAGGCCAGTCTCTTGATGAGAATGGTGAAGTTAGCATGTATGCTCCTAGGGGAACATGATGATACAAAAGACTAAATAAGAAATGAATGGATGAAGGGAAATTAAGAATGGCAGTAGATCCAAATGAAACTAGGGAATGTGCCAAAAATTGTAAAAGAGTTTGGTTTGATAACATTACAATTGAAGAAATGTTAGATGGTTTGATTGAAAGTTCAAATGAATTAGGTTCAGAATGTTTAGATTATGTTGGAAAGTTAAGTAGTTTAAATGCTCAAAAGTATGAACAAAAAAGAGAATACAAAGAGAAGTTAAATGAAAAAGAAGAGCAGATTAAAAATTTAGAAGCAGAAAAAAATGAACTAGTAGCATGGGTAGAAGAGTTGGAAGATGAGGTGGAAATGGAATGAGAAGAAGCTAAGAAAGCACTAGATGAAGCAATGGAATGGAGAAAGCAGAATTAGAAAATGCTGGCAATGAACTTTTGAGGCAATTATACAAAGAACATAAGAAAAATAAGAACCAAAAAGAATACATTGAACAATTGGAAACAAAACTGTATGGGCAAGAATAACCACTGAGAAAAGCACTTGAAAAAAATGCAAATCAAAAAACAGAAATTGAGGATTTACAGGGAAAACTAGGTTCAATTAGTAAACTATATTTGGACAATAAACCTTCACCAAAATCAACAAGCAAATTCAAAATCTTTAAAGAAAAAGCAAAAACTAAATTCCAACACTTAATAGAAAAAACCAAATACCAAATTCAAGAGTTATTGACTTGAATAGAAGTTAGAGTCAAGTAATTATGAGAGGACTCCTTTACACAAATTTGGGTTTAGAAGAGTGAAACAAAGAAGGAACTTGTGATTTTTGGTCCCATTTTGAAAATAATGAAAATCAATCAATCTGTCAAATGAGAACACAAAGTAAAATGACTGAAGAGTTAGTAATGTTGTATGTGAAATTGAAATATTATGGAGTGGGGTGAAATTCTGATTGGCTAATTTGAATTTCACACATGTAAATTTGAATTTCACACATGTAAATTTGAATTTCACATATGTGAATTGTGAATTCACATATCATTTTCACGTACAACAGTAACAAATGATTATGTTTGCCAAAAATGTAAAGAGAAATTTGAGAATGATGAATTACCAAAATGTAAAAGATGTAAAAGGTTAGAGACTAAATTAAATAGAGATACTCTTTGTGATTGTGTTAGAAATAATGAAGATGTGGGGAGACCATATGCTTTTTATGAAAGGCAAATAAATTCTTTAAGAGAAGAATTAGCCACTGCAGAGGAAGCCCTAGAAGTTGAAAGAGAGGAGGTAGCCAAATTTCAAGAAAAATCTGAAGAGTGAAGTAAAAAACAGAAACAAGAGTTATTGGATAAGATAAAGAGTTTAGAAGAAAAAATTAAGCAACTAGAAGAGGAAAACAAGACATTAAAAGATCAACAGAATGGTCAAATTGCTCAAATTGAAGTTAAAGAGACTAAAAGATGATCTTGATTGAAAATAAAAAGTAATTGAGGAAATTTCCCTGTGTATAAATTGAAATTCATTTTAACTATAAAATTATTTTTCTTCTAAGGATTTCTGCTTTTTGTTAGGTAATAATACACCTTCATTCTGCTTCTTTTTTTAATGTTTATTATTTTTCTTTCTTGGTAAATTTCATAGGTAATCTTTTCTTTTCTTAGATAAGCTTCCAGTGTTTGAGTATCATTTATTTTAAAAATATAAGGAGCAATTTTTTCACCTTGTTCCTTTTTCAAAATACTTCTGATGGTACTATAATTTTTTGGTTCCATAGTAGATCTGATATAAATGAGTTTCATATTAACTATTTTTATATAAGGGTAATTCTATATATCACTTAAGATAACAAATTATAATCACATTACAAATTTTGATCCCTGAAATCTTTGGTAATACCAATGTTCACTTTGTCTGGTTTTGTTGCAGCATGCCCCATATGATTATTATAATTATAATGATTGTTTCTATTATAATAAAATATGTCTTAATAACTTCCATAATTAGATGGTTTGATAAAATTTAATTAGCATTTATATATTCAGTTACTCTTAATTAGTGATCACTTTGACGTTTTTATCACTTAAAATTTTACTATTGTCACTGATTTGTTGGCTAATTCCGAATTTTAATTTGTTTGTTTGTTTGTTTATTCATTATTTGTTTATTTATTTCATTTAATTTACTTGTATTACATTTTCATATATTAATGTTTATTATTTATTATTTATTTATTTCGTGTAACGTCGTCAATTAGAGCTAAATCGTAATTAGAATGCTAGATCGCAATGAAACTGCTACTAATTAATTTAATTGTACACAGGAAACTTGAGTTCAATATACTTGTGAAATAACCTTTTTTGTAATAAATTTAATAAATAATAACATAGAATAAGTTAATAGATTAGTTTCGACTAACAAACAAGCATTTTCTTAAAATCACTAAACAAAATCGTTCGCTAATAAAACTAATTCGTTGGTAAATAAGCCCCAAATAATAATTGGTGACACTATGTTTTAATCAGTAATCTAGAATTTTGATTAGTAATCTGAAAAATAAGTTTGGCCTTAAGAATAAAAATAATTATTAAAGTTCAGAATCTGAATATGTGGCTTATTTTTTAGCCCATTGTAGATCATAGGGTAGGGTGATCATGTGACAACACCTGAAATTTTTATGTCCTGCGGATCTTCCCATTGGTTGATCTGAAATTTTTCATATAACCCGAGTACATAATTTAGCCGTCGATTATTATATATAGTATTTGGAAAAAACCTGACTGTATCTATGTGTAAAATTTGGGTTATGATAGCTCCACAAAAGGGATATGTCGATTTAATATCGTGATTTTTTTTTTCCAATCAAAAATAAAAAACAAAAATTGCTTTTGTAACAAATGCAGGTTTTCGCAACTAATCATTAAAATAAAACTAATGGTTCTAATAAAATTTAGTGATTCAAAAAATTAATAATTCGAATAAATAATATTAATATGTAATAGTAAACGGTCATTTATTTATATTATAAAGTATTTTAAAAATTTCAATTGTTGCTGCGTCCGATTATGTGTATATGCACACCGATAATCCAAATATTTTTTCTTTATCAATCTATTTTTCTAGTGATAATAATAGCAGAAACAATTTGAAATTTTTATTTTTCTTAAGTCATAGTACCATTAACATAGTGGTAGTAATATAGATTATAATTATTGTAATTTATTATTATCTTGTTAAACTTTTAATAACAACAATAATATATATAGAATTTGTTGCATCAAACTGTGAATTAATAATATTTTATATTTTATAACCGAATAAAACGAGTAATTCAAATAAAACAGATAAAACAGATAAAGTGAATAATTCTAAAACGAATAATTCGAATAAACGAACAATTTGAATAAAACGAGTAATTCGAATAAAACGAATAAAACGAATAAAAGAATAAAAAGAATAAAAGAATAAGAATTTGTATTAAGATTAGAAACTCTGCCTAGCTAGCAAAGTAAAAAAAAAAACGAGTATTTGGATCAAGAATTAGGACATTTATCGATTTTTTGTCTCATCAACAAAACAAAACAAAAAAAAAATTTCTATGCATGGTTTCTTTCAATGAATTCATTTAATTTAAGCAATCGCAGGAAATTTGATCACACTACAATGTATCACACCACCTTGTTAGTGTTCCTATCCGAATATTAATATTAATATTCACATTAATTGACATATTCAAAATTGGCAACATTTTCAGCATTTTTGATTCGAATTTTCGAACATCCGTAATAGTAATAGTAATATTTGTAATACTTAAATTGATAAATTGAAAATAAATGCCTTGCATTTTAATTAATGATAAAGAATCAAATTCTGATTTTCTCCAAAAGAGTCCATTATCAATATAAACCACCAAATAAAAAATACAAAACTTTGACGAAACATGGAAGACTCAGAGAAAGCCATATTTGAGATCGGTCTTATTGAAGAAGGAAATGAACGACATGAAATGTTGTTGTGTTAATAAAAAAATAAAGTATATATCATGCATGATATCCAAAAGTAAAAGCATTGGGGTTAGGATTAATACTAATTTGAAAAAATTTAATGTTAATTCGAACGTATTAGTATTAATTTGAACATATTAGTATTAATTCGAAATTCAAATGTTACGAATATTCGAAATTGTTGGTATTACGAATATTCGAAGGTATCCCAGATACTCGAGAGTATTACAAGCATTCGGTTTAATAAAAGCCTACCAATGAAAGCTCACCTTGCAATTGTCACAATCTCAATAATTTGAATATCTTAGCAATATGCCATTGCATGAAACAACAATTACGTTACAAAAACAAATTGCGCAACAAAAATAATTACAATTATAATTATAAACTACTATAAGGAGACTGTCAAGGAATCAAAAGGCAAGAATCTGCGCGATCAACTCGAAATTTTAACATAAAAAAAATAATATCTAACTAAAATAAAATAAAGTTAGGTGACACCGATTTAATTCATTGTATTAAAAGTGTCAAAACAAAGCACTAATGTAGTTATTGCGTACTTCATTTTTCAAAATAATTTTTACGCCCATCATTACATCTTTACAGTATGGGAGATGAACCAACGTCTTCTCAATCCGAGAAATATCATTTCCAGTCATCCAATCGCTTTCTAACCATTTCCAGATTATCATCGATCGAAGCATTACGACTAGGGCCTATAGAGTATATCTTAGCGTTGGAGGCAGATGTTCAATCAGACCCAAAGAATGCAACTGCATGGTTACAGTTAGGAATTAAACAACAGGAAAATGAGCAAGAAGAACAAGCAATAGCTGCTTTGAAAATGGCGATCTCGTTGGACCCTAAACTCTTAAATGCTTGGCTTTCATTGTCAGTCTCTTACACAAATGAACGTCGTCGTGAGGAGGCATATAATGCATTAAAATCATGGATTGAAAATAATGACAAATATAAACATATTTTAGAACGTCAAGATCTACAAGTTGATGATAATGACCAACATAGGTTCATCACAGGATTATTTCTGGAAGCTGCTAATATACCAGATCCTGGAGAAAATCTTGACCCAGATGTACATATTGGCTTGGGGATCTTGTATAATATGTCAAAAGAATTTTCCAAAGCTATAGATTGTTTCAAATATGCTCTTACAAAAAGACCAAACGTAATTAATTGATTGATTAGTTATGATAATAACTATCTTATTGATTATTATATTTTTTTAAGAAAATTTTAATAAACGATTAATTTTTTTCTATAGGATTATGTATTATGGAATAAACTTGGAGCCACATTGGCCAATGCAAAACAACCAGAAAATGCAATAGATGCATATTTGAGTGCACTTAAAATCAATCCGCTCTTTATAAGAGCCAAATTTAATTTGGCAATTACATTGGTTAACTTGAAGAGATTCAAAGAAGCTGTTCAAAATTTGTTGCAGGCACTTTCACTACAGGCTAGAAATGAAAGAGGATTGGAGAAGGATGATAGTATATCAGGTGATGAGATGAGTTCAAACATTTGGAATACACTCAGGATGTGTCTTAGGTTCTTGAATCGAACCGATTTAATTCCAAAATGTGATGCTAGAAATTTGAATGGGTTTAGACAAGATTTTGAATTTTAATAATTAATAAAATTTTCAAATTTGTGATATATATATTCATTTTATTTATTAATTACTAATAGAATTTTTTTTCCTTTAATTTATCACTCGTTTTTAAAGTAATAGTCAAAAACACTTTGTCATAAAAAATTATATTATCAGTCAGTTAGCTATTTATTATATTTACAAAAAAATAATTAATTAATACTATACTTGCAATAAAACATTGTGTGTGACAAGATTCGAATTTGAATTTAGTGAGCGAGACTAAATTCCAGGCTTAATAAAGATTTTGTTTTCAATGTCAATATTATGTTACGTTCCATATGTTACGTATTTTATAATTACAACTCTCTATAGAGAACATTTTCCTTTTGTACCATAGTTTTATTGATAAAAATAGGAAAATTATGTTCATACAAATTATATTTACAAATTATTATTATTATTACTTTTACAAATTAAATAGATGCTGGCTAGCAGCAAGTATCTAAAAAGTTAGATTGAAAATATTTTTACAAATAGATAGATACTGGCTAGCAGTAAGTATCTAGAACATTAGATTGAATAGATTGAAACTTTATCTTAAAATCTTTGGAACTTAAATAGCATTTGAAAAATAAAAAATTTAAATGCGTAAAAGAATTATAAAATGAATTGTCTTCTGAATCATAGTTATAAGATGATGATATATTATTTTTATCCGTTGTGTCAAAAATCGGTAAACTGTTTGGAAGTTCAAACTTTGATGCGATAAACCCCCATCGTTTTTTCTTTAATTTGATCCCTAAATCGTCGTCATCTGTATCGTTATCATCTTCAATACTTTCTTCATCCAAAGGTTTTACATATCCCCATCGTTTTTTTGATATTTCGGTTAAATCAAACATAACATCATCAATATCGTCAACATCAATATCAATATCGCTAATATCAATATCAATATCATAGTCATAGTCATAGTCATCTCTAATCTTCAAAGAAGCCTCCAATAATAATGATAACGATGATTTTGAATTATTTCTTTTAACTTTTTTTATTTTTTTAATATTAAAATATTTACCAAAAGAAGAAGATGTAGATGATCTATGTAAAGACATTTTTTATTTTTTTTTTTTCGAAAATTTTTTTTTAATTTTTTGACAAGCAAATAAAAATTGAATGCATTCTTATATATACATATTAATGATAATAGTAATAATAATAATATTAATGATGATAATAATAATATAAAATATAAATATTGTAATCGAACAATTTACTGGAAAAAAAAAGAAACAAACGTAAAACCCCTTATTATTATCTATTATGTTAGAAATGTTACTGATCGCTATATATAGATACCTTACCAGTCCAAAAAAGGGTTAATACCAATGATGCATTACTATTGTATGTATACAAATAAAATTCAATTTGTATTGTGGTGCAGATCATCTAGTTACTTATTATTATAACAATAGAATGCTTAAAAAAAATTTTTTTTCCCAAAAAAATAATGAGTATTCTTTAAGACGCGCAGTGTTGTACAAGGAGAAAATCATTTTTCAAAAAAAAAAGTCTTCATCATTGAAGAATAAAAAAGAAAAGCAAAAGGTCGTCTATATTAGGTAAATATTGTTAGAAGAGAGAAATTTGAGAGCTTTTCTAACTTTTAGAATATTGTCGTTATTTTTAGAATTTCTTCAATAATAGGTTTCTAAATCATCACACCGAACCCGTCCATACATACCACCGAAAGAGTTGAATCATATATAATAAAATATAAAAAATTATAATGAATTAATTATGCATGCACCAAGGTTAGATGCCGAAATGACTCCTTTTCGGTATATGCCGAAATAGGGTTCCTACACTTTAAGGACTTTGACGAAAGTTCCGAAATGACAAAAAGTGCCGGAAGTGCTGGAACCGATATGATTGCGATTAAAATAAACCAATTATTTTGTGAATTTTAAATTATTTGTATTTATATGATTCAAGAAGTAAATTGAACCATCATATTGAATTCTAATTTCTTCTCAATCATCACCGTCATATAATATGAATTTGCAAACATTAAATTTAGATAATACATCTGAAAATTCATTTAACGATAATCAGAAAATAGTCACAGGACGTCCTATATCTGATATATGTCCATTCAGCATCTTGCAAATATTGTCCAAAAACCTGAAATTGTGACATTCATTCTAAACTCAAGGTTCATTTAGCTAACGAATGTATATATTAGAATTATTTTTATATATGAGTAGTTCTATATGTTATTTAAGAAAAACAAACTAACTATAAAATTGTCAGCGCCATGTTAGTGGTACGATGATGATGTTAAATGATTTTGAACCCTGAAATTCTTTATATATAGTGCAAATGTTCATTTTGAGTATGTTCCATTTAACCTTATAATTTTTATTATCAAATATCTCGAAATTTATTAAGATAATATGGCATTGTTTCTAAGATAAAAGTAGTCTCAATTTTGTAAAAATTGGAATTTATCCTTTTTATAAATGAGTGAATCATACGCAATAAAACAAATAAAATGAACATGACACAAAACTAATTTCAGTTTTCAAAATGTTGAAATTTGTTAAACATTAGTAATGTAACGTGATTATAAGCCTTAAATCCTTGTAAGCTAAAAGACATATATCACTGAAACTTTTATTGTTGAAATATTCTTCAAAGTGCCACAATTACTAGATGATGATGGTAGTGGTGGATTATCATCAATAATATCAATTTTAATTGTTGCCTCACTACAGGTGGAAAACTCTTACCACACCTACCTCGGTTACACGACAAGGTTTTTTTAAGATAAGATTTCCTTATTTTCTACCAATCATGGGGTTTCTTACAGGTGTTACACGATCTGATTGGCTTTTAAATTAACTCAAATCACAATCACAATTCAATACAGATTGAGTACAGTACACTTTGTGCAGTGAGTATAGCACAAAAATAAGTATAATTAGATTGAGTACAGTACACTTTGTGCAATGAGTATAGTACAAATCATTTTTAATCATTTTGGTAATGATAATTGTACTTATGTGCCTTTTTTGTGCTGGGTGTTGGACCTATAAATTGTACTTACTGAATCTTATACTCGCTGCACAAAAGTGGACTATGCTCAACCTGTCCAAAAATGCATGTAAGTATAATTATCATTACCAAATGGTTAAAATGGTTTGTACTCAAATCACAATTCAATACTCTTCTGAAAGACGGTTCCTGATGCGACGATCACATTTCGTAGTATATAAACTTAGATAACAAGCCGTACCAAGTTTTTGTATCGGAAGATGATATTTTATTATTATTAAGTATTAAATAGGATTGGTTATCCAATGGATATGATATGACAACAATATTGTTTCTCTACTACTTTAGTAGATATTCTTTTATTAATTCGAAACCGAACTTCAAAAGTCATTCTCATATCCGTTTTAAATTCCTATTTATTCGGCACAGATTTTTGTAAATCAATTTGACTAATGCGACTGGAAAAAGTTTCAGAAGTTGCAAACATGTTTCACAATTACAATACTTAAATCAAGATCTCCAAGGAAATGTTCTATTTCTAGATTCACGAAACGGATTTATTAACTATTATTATTATTATGTGAAAATAGTCAATTAAAAGGAATTACGCACCATATTCGATTGGCTAATTCAATTCAAAAAAATTGTATTTTGCCATTAAACAATTTATAAAAAATTTAAAGTTTAATAGAAAAATCAATCGATTAACATTCCTTTGTACTCGCAACATTTAGTTATACCATCACGATAGTATTCGTGACCAATTTAAAAATTATTGGAGCAACGCTTGTAAATTCAATTTTATTTATGAGCTTTGAACACTTCGAATGAACGCTACAGATCTAATCAACATTATCATTATCAATAGAAAAAGAATAAAAGAATAATGATCAATATTAACATCATCATTAATATCAAAGATGTTAACCGAAACCCAGAGTTGTTATTGTTCTTGAATTAAATATCTCACTTTCCAAAATCCCAATCACCAACCAGTGCAAGATAACCGTTCATCAAGAAAACAGGAACACAACCGTAGAGGTTAACGCATATATAATATAAGTGTAATTTGCACTTATTTTTTTTTAATGTGCTAAGCCACACAATTATGTAGAATATACGCATATAGAATATTTGCTACTATTTTCTCTGATGGATGATTCGGTAAAAAATCTTGGGTATTGGAGAATTTAAAAGCTAAAAAATCTGAAATGTTTTTATCAAAAGGGTTAAGCAAGCATAGTGTTAAAACTTGACTAAACTTGAATTTTAGCATATGACTAAATAGTTTAGTCAGTTTATCCAAGTGCTCATTTGAGTTACGCGGCCAGTATGTATGGGGTTTTTTGCATATATATATCATAACTGGTGAGAAAGTCAGACTAACACAACATAATTTTGCAGGGACCGTTACTCAAAAAAAAAAATTATTACGTTCTTGGCCACATTTTGCTAGAAATCATTATTACTATGAAAAAAATGTATATATTTGAATCAACAATAACAAAATGCAAAATCCCCGAAATAGTACACCCACAATAACCCTTTCGGTTGAATTAGAAGATCCAAATGATCCAAATGATCCAGAAAATGAAAAAATCAACAACGAAAAACAAACAAAAGCCACAATAGAATTGATAGAAAGAAGAGTTGTTGTAATATCAATTTTAATACCGTTTTCAATCATTGGAGCTCTTATCAGGGTCAAGTTGACTAATTGGCACTCGTATCAAGAAGCTCCAGTATTTTCACAAATATATCCACAATTTGTTGGATGTGTGATAATGGGATTTTGTTTATCTAGGAAAAATTTTATTATGGAAAGGTATATTGACAGTATTTGACAAATACACATACACACGTATGCACGTACGCATGTTATTGATTGGCTCAATTGATTGGTTGTTATTTTTGTATCTATAGATATCTGCCTTTATACTTTGGATTAACAATAGGTCTTTGTGGGTCTATAACAACATTTTCCTCTTGGATTCTTTTAACAATTAAATTACTTATCAATTATCCAAACAATTATTCAAATGGACAAAATGTAAGTTACTAGTAATATTTATTTTTGTATTTTTTATAAATTGATTTTCCTAAATAAATTGTTTTAAAAAACCATATCATATATATGTGTATATAGGTTTTAGCTAGTTTGGCTGCTATTGGAATAACCATAGGGATGTCAGTATCTGGATTAAGATTTGGAGAACACCTTGGAGATTTTATTTTATCAAGTCAAAGATTCAAATCAACAAATTTACACAAAATTTCAACCAAACCATTTAATTTGAAGGAACTTTCTGTTATTGATTGGATAATTGTTGGATTTAGTTTAACTTCCCTCGCACTAATTATTATATTATTGGCAATTTTTCAATTAGACAGAAATTTGTTATTTATTATTATTTTTTCTCCAATAGGTAAAAAAATATATTTTAACATATATATTATAATTATGACAATGATTCATTTTCTTTTTAAAAATTGGAAATCTCAAATGATTTGTTTTAATTTGATTTTTAGGCACATTTGTTAGATTGTGGCTATCTAGATACAATAGGATTACAAAATTTTTCCCTATTGGGACTTTTGCAGCAAACATTTTAGGCTCTACTATTCTTGGAATTTTGTATTTACTTGGCCATGGTACTATTTCATCAAATACAGGGTGTGACTTGATTAGTAGCGGTTTAGCTGATGGATTTTGTGGTAAAAATATTTAAATAATTATTCTATAACATTTATTATTTATTTATTTATTGTTTATTTATTTATTATCGATTACTTTAATAATTATTAGGATGTTTAACAACAATTTCAACTTTTGCTGTAAGTATATAGTATTGATTATAAACAAATAATAATGACAACATATTTTCCCTTTCTACCTTTCACAAATTATCTGATCAATTAGTTACTAATTAATTTAAAACATATAGGCTGAAATTACAACGCTTCCCAAAAAACGTGCATATGCATACGCATTATCTAGTACCATCACTGCTCTGGTTATAGTGACTTTAATCGTTGGCAGTTACAATTGGAAAATTGGATTGTCAAATACATGTGAAATCTTTTAACCTATATACATATGCTGTTAATTCATTTTGCTCGTGTGACATTATTTTCCATAATTAGAGAAATTAGAAATTTACACGTGAAAAATAAAGTTAAATTATTTTTTCCTACTTTTTTGAAAGATAAAAATAAAATAAAAAAATGGAACCGCCAATTGTTTATTATTCTCGTTCAGAATATATCGAAACCGTAAGTGAACGTCCTAAAAAACTAACACTATCAATAACCAGAATTTCCCAGCTTGGTTTTTTAATGTTTTTTATGTTGATTTAAAAAAGGATACTGGTAATAAAGTTAGTAGGAAATCAGTTATTTGTGGTAGTCAAAACATTATACTTGGTGGCAAGGTATAAATAAACAAATAAACATACAAAATACAAATATATTTTAAACCGCTAATCAATAATTAATCAATCAGTTATTTTCTTTTATAGACAATCATACAAACTGATTGTGTTATTCGTGGTGATTTAAGACGTACAGGAACTGGCCATGCAGTAGTTGTAGCTATTGGTAGATATTGTCTTTTATCAAGAGGTTGCATAATTAGACCACCTTACAAAACATACAAAGGGTAATGATTAAATCATTAATTTGCAAAAAGTGATTTTATTATAAATAATATTTTATATTTTACATTTCACATTTGGATTTTAGAATCTTTAGTTATTATCCAATGAAAATCGGTGATCATGTAACCATTGGCGAAGGAAGTATATTAGAAGCTGCCACAATTGGTTCTTTTGTTCATATCGGAAAAAACTGTGTTATCGTAAGCAAGTTCAAATTTTTACTTTTTCAAAAATAAATGATATAATAAGCCAATTAATTAATTAAAATAAATATATTAAATAAAGGGAAGATTTGCAATCATCAAAGATTGTTGTAGAATCGAAGATAATACAGTTGTTCCTCCAAATGCTGTAGTGCCTTCATTTTCAGTTTATGAAGGATCACCTGGTATTTAATACGAAATCATGATTGATTTTTTGTTTTATTATATTTCCATTATTAATTAAATAATCATTTTTTTTTCATAGGTGAGTTTGTAAACGAATTGCCAGAATGCGTGCAAGATCTTTATGAGGCAAAAACTAAAGATTATTATTCAAAATTTCAACCAAAAGATAGTTAAAAGTTGAATTCATAGCAATTGTTCGTAATATTTAATACCTTTATAATCATCTTCATTTTTACATTGTATTTTATTATTTATATCATCGAGTTTATAAATTAGTTTATAGATTAATTTATTTGTTAAATATATGCACGCTGATCAGTTGACATAATTTAAATAAAATTATATCAAATACATAATTAAATATTATTTTACACTTTTAATATGATGATGATATGATGATGATGATGATGAATGATGATAAAATAAATAATCGATATATGATACTTATATATTTATATATGAAATTAATTAATCAAATGATTGATTGGTTTGACGTTTTAGTTTTTTCAATAATATCCAAGCATTGTTCCAGCATACACTCGACTTTATTAAACTTGATTTTACTTACTATACTATACTTATTATGATACTATATTATGCACGTGATTATAATAATAAGTAAAAATATTACCATTGGTATTTACATATAATATATATAGTTATTTTATGTTCATTCATATATATATTGAGGTTCCGTAATTGTTGTCATAATTACTTTTTCTCCCAAAACTATTATGACAAACAACTATAGCGGGTCTTAATCACAAGTCATGATATATTCAGTGGTTAAAGATATAAATTTATTCTCGATTTACCCATGAAATTAGACATTTAATATTTCGCAATTATCAATTTATTATTATTAAATTTACGAGCAATAATTTGTGATTATTACAAGAAATTAAAACCATGTCATTCGAATTTGCTGAATTCAATCCTTTAAAAAACATTCGCGTGATCTAAAAGCGTTATTAATATAGAAATGAAGATAAGAAATAATAATATAGAATTAATAAATCTAATTTTTTTTTGTTTATCCTCCTTTCTAATTCTACTTCTTTCTAGTTTAATTTCATTATTTTCTAATTTGATTTGAACATTTCTTATCTTGCGTATTAACTTCTCTTGACTTTGGAGCGTCTCGATAATCTCATTTATCCTTTTTTCTATGTTGTAAAGTTTTTCTTCTACAGAATTGTCTTTTGATATTTTAGATAAGTACACGGGTATGTCCTGATCCAAATCCCATATGTTCGTTAGCAACAAATAACATTCTGATGAATTGGCTCTTTCTATAGAACCCTTTGTATAACCGTCCTTTGCCGATATCACATAAATTCCAATAGTTTTATCTTTATCAAATCTTGCTACGATACTTTCGAAAGCACGGATATAATCAACTTCAATTTTGTCAGTATAATCTTTGCATTGAATCAGGAGCAGATAGTGATATAATTGCCGAAGATATCTATGCCGCCATCTCCTCTAGATTGACTAATAAAAAAAAATTTTATAAGCAAATGTCATCATCATCGTAAAGGTAAATGCTGGGGCCATACAGTCATTGATCCATACATCCTATTCACCATTTCGGATAATAGACAAAACAGAGAAGGACGTTCACAAGCAATTATCACTTGACCCTAGTGACATCCCCTGCGGCCACGATGCGCTTCCAGTTCTCTGTTTATCATATCATCCTTAATGGCAGCGTAACTTCAGATGCATAACGACTAAACAATTACTTAATGAAATAAATATCTCACCTCACTCTCTGACAATCAATTTTTATACTTCTAAATGACTTAAAAACTTTGATTTCGAACATATTGCCCTTGCAAACAGTAGAAATGTTAGAAGTGTCCATTGTTACTGAGAAAATTTCATCTACTGGATTAAATGTTATGTTTTACATCCATCCTTTATTATATATCGGTTCCAGTCTCGAAAAAAAATAGTCTCATCTCAAACTTTAGTAATGAAACATGCACTTACATTACATTTTTGGTAATGTGGAATTTTTTTTTACATTTTTGTTGCACAGCCCCATCAGCAGCAGCATAGATAAAAATTCTATCATTGGCTATTATTGTATCACAAAAAATCAAGCAAAATTAACCAATAAAAATCATGCACGCAACATTTCAATTATTTAAAGATTTCTTCTAAAAATTTTTTCTTTCTTCAGGACTGATTAGATTGACAAGAGGATTAATTTCACAGCTTATTTTCATCAAAATCTAATTATATTGATATACTTAACAAATCATATAATATAGAATTTATATAATATATAATATATAATGACATTGAATTACCTGTAAGCATTCTATCTAATCTTTGGTTTAACTCTTCATAAGCAGGGATTTCATCAATATTATTTGTTTCTTCTTCCAATAAATCATCTTTAGGCGGTTCAAATTCATTTTGAGTATCATTATCCATTTCTAATCGTTTATTATATGACTTGGACAATTCATCAATTGAAGCTGAGAGATAACTATGACAATGAATACAAATGCAATCAGATTTATTCCAGCAATCATCATGATAAGCATGACCACATAATTTAACACTTCCACTAATCATAGAAAGATTTTTGCATTCATTTGCATCACAGAAATGGTTAGGTTTTGGGGGTTGTTTTAAATGATATCCTATTGGAAGTGCACCTTCAGGAAATCCTTTAGCAATTCCTGGGAAATACCAGTATGGCTTTTTAATTTTTCTTCCTTCCTTCTTCACCTCAAATTTACCAGAATTTTTTGAAAAATTGTCAAAAAGTTTTAACAAAAATATTGCACCACTTTTTACCATTATATCAATATTCTGTTTAGAGTATGGATATGTCTTTTTGACTCTAAAGGTTTGTGTGAAGTCATTATCATGACGTTGATAATCAATAAAAATTCCATCACGTCTTAACCATTCTGGAACTAAGATTTTTGCATTTGTGTGCCTTCTAACAAGACTGTGAAAGTTCTCCACAGGGTACTCATCAAAAGCATTGAGGTGGGATTTAAGTATTTGAATGATTGGATGATCAATTTTAATCCAATATTGAATATCTGATAAAAATGCAAGCATTATCTTATTATAGTTTTTCCTTTGAAATCGACACATCATTGTCCACAGCCTGAATATTGTCTCAATATATTCTTCAAATGATTATTCCGAAAAAGCACCGCATAAAGATCTAAAGTAGAAGGTATCAAGGAATCTAATAAATCAAAAAAGGTACAATATGCCAAATCCTTGCTTTTATCAAAACGTTTAATAACATGCTTCCTGACTATTTTCCATGATGCATGAGCTACATATAACAAAATATTAATTTTCCAAGGCTTGGGCTTGGCTGGTAGGTTTTTTATTTTTTGAAATATAGCTTTATAAAATTCATTGAAGAAACTCCAAAATGTCAAGAAGCAACTTTCACGAGTATTAAGAGAGACATGTAATGGACCTAACAATGGTATAAGGTGAGTAATAATGTCAGATATTGGAAATAATTCCTTAAGCTTGAGTTTTTGTGTAATAGAACGTCTAATATATAGCTGTCCTGGAAAATCAGCTGGAACTGGTATTAGAGAATTCTTAAGATAATTTTGAATTTCAGTAAAACTAAAAAAATAAATAAATATTAATTATAAATTTTTTTTTTTAGTCTGATATTTAAAATCAATAGCCAAACCTGAAAAAAATCTCAAGACATTTTAAATAATCATTAATATTCTTTAAATCCTGAGGTATAAAATCAATTAGCTTTGCAAATTTAAAGGAACGCTTGGAATGTGTTTCCATTAAATCAGCATCATAAGAATGAACAATTAATGAATCAATTAAGTCTTCCTCGTTTAAGTCTATTGTATCTATACATGCTATGGTAATTATTTTGCCAAAAACGTAATACGTAATACGTAATACGTAATTACGAAATTAATTACGA